TACAAACAAATTCTGCCACCCAAATAGGCGAAACACCAACGTCAAAGACCTGGGAGTGTTATGTGGAGATCTTTACCTTCAGGACCTAACATTGTATCAATCGCATTCTAGAAAAATGACAGGATGGATATGAGACTTCAAAACTAGGGAGGCCAAGCCCTGATGACACTCTTCAGGTCACTTGTTCTATCTAGGCTGGAATATTTCTGCATCTTAAAAGCCTTTCAAGGGGGGTGAAATTGCCGACCCAGAAATGTCGAGAACGTTCACGGCCGCCTACGGAGATAAAACACCTCAATTACTGGGGCGCTTGAGGTTTCTAAACCTGTTTCCCCGAACGCAGAGGAGATACATTTAAACACCTGGAAATCCTAGAGGGGTGTACCGACTTGCACACGAAAATCACTCCTTTCGAAAGCAAAAGACTTGGCAGACGACCCATTCCCTAAAGAAAAGCAGGGTGTCACTAGCCGTTAAGGACCATACAATAGTGCCAGGGCCCGAGACTGTTCAACTGCCTCCCGCACAATAAAGGGGGTTACAACAGACCCTGGCAGTTTCAAGCTGGCACTGGACAAGCACCTAAGTCAGTTCTGATCAGCGGGCTGTGGCTCGTACGTTGGTTTGCCTTTCACCAGCCAACAGCCTGGTTGATCAGGGGCTGATCCACAGGAGGCCTGGTACGACCGGCCGCTTGGGGCGTTGACCCCAACTCTCTCCCGTAAATCCGGCACTTTCAAGGCAGTGAAATTCTGACCTAGAAAATGTACAGAGACTTTCACGCGCGCATAACAGGATAACACACCTCAATTACTGGGAGCACTTGAGGTTCCTAAACCTGTATTCCTGGAACGAGGGGAAGATACATGATTTTTACCTGAAAATCCTAGAGTGACTTTGTACGACTTTGCACACGAAATCACTCACTTACGAAACAAAAGACTTGGCAGACGATGCACCATCCCCCCAATGAAAGCAGGGGGTCACTGCAGTTAAGAGACCATACAATAAATGTCAGCCGGGCCCGGACTGTTCAATGCCTCCCAGCACACATAAGTGGGAAATTTCCCAAAAGACCCCTGGCAGTCTTCAAGCTGGCACTGGAGAAGCACCTAGAGTCAGTTCCTGATCAGCCGGGCTGTGGCTCGTACGTTGGTTTGCGTGCAGCCAGCAGCAACAGCCTGGTTGATCAGGCTCTGATCCACCAGGAGGCCTGGTCACAGACCGGGCCGCGGGGGCGTTGACCCCCGGAACTCTCTCCAGGTAAACTCTCCAGGTAAGGTCAAATCGGAACTAGTGCTTCTCTGATACTGCATTGTTTTTTCTTTATTTGTCAAGTTTTTTTTTTTTTTTGCTTTGTTGAAGATGAATAAATGTAGGATCTGTTGCCTGTACTCAAAGTGGTATTTGAGTTTATGTTTTCTCAATATTACTATGATTATTTATATTATCATTAATAAAGTTGAGTTGTATTCTCCTGATCGGTTTATGGCCCTTAACGTTCTCATTGCTGAACATTAGTCAGTGGTCATGCAGTAGTGACGTAACTGGAGTTTACTCCCCCCATCCTCCTGCCCCTGGATTTCGTGGGGGTGACACCAAAGATGCCACTCCAGGTGACACCAATCATAGCAACGCCACTGCCTCTATCATGTGCTTTTAAAATCCTATGGAGAGGGAGCATGGACACAGGGGTCGTCCCATAGCTGCTAAAAACAACAGACATATCCCCACTCCACAAAGGGGGCAGTAAAGCAATAGCAAATAACTACAGGCCGATAGTGCTAACATCCCATATCATAAAAATCTTTGAAAGCGATCTAAGAAGCAAGATCACCACCCATCTAGATATCCATCAGTTACACAACTCAGGGCAACATGGGTTTAGAGCAGGTCGCTCCTATCTGTCCCAACTACTGGACCACTATGACAAGGTCCTGGATGCTCTAGAAGACAGACAAAATGCAGACGTAGTATGGACAAGTGTGACCATGGTGTAATAGACAAAAATGCGTGATAAAGGAATAACAAGAAAAGTTGGCAGATAGGTCTATAATTTTCTAACAAATATAACACAAAAAATAGTAGTAAACAGAGTAAAGTCTGAGGCGGCTACAGTGACAAGTTGTGTTCCACAAGGCACAGTACTCTCTCCCATTTTGTTCCTCAGCCTCATATTTGACATAGCCACAGCACCGTGTCTTTCTTTGCAGATGACACCCGAATTTGCATGACAGTGTCCTCCATTGAAGACACTGCAAGACTCCAGGTGGACATCAACCAAATCTATAAATGGGCCGCAGAAAACAATATGAAGTTCAATGATGAGAAATTTCAATTACTCAGATATGGAAAACGTGAGGAAAATAAAACTATATCGAATTATAAAACAAATTCCAACCACACAATAGAGCGAAAAACCAACGTCAAAGACCTGGGAGTGATCATGTCAGAGGATCTCACCTTCAAAGATCATAACATTGTATCAACCGCATCTGCTACAAAAATGACAGGATGGATAATGAGAACCTTCAAAATTAGGGATGCCAAGCCCATGATGACACTCTTCAGGTCGCTTGTTCTATCTAGGCTAGAATATTGCTGCACACTAACATCTTTTAGGGCAGGTGAAACTGCTGACCTAGAAAATATACAGAGAACCTTCACGGCGCGCATAACTGCGAAGAAACACCTAAATTACTGGGAACGCTTAAAGTTCCTCAACCTGTACTCCCTAGAATGCAGGCGGGAGAGATACACGATTACATACACTTGGAAAACCCTAGAGGGATTAGTACCAAACTTGCACACGAAAATCACTCACAACGAAAGCAAAAGACTTGGCAGACGATGCAACATCCCCCCAATGAAAAGCAGGGGTGCCACTAGCACGATAAGAGACAACACAGTAAGTGTCAAGGGCCCAAGACTGTTCAACTGCTTTCCAGCATACAAAAGGGGGATTACCAATAGACCCCTGGCTGTCTTCAAGAAGGTGCTGGACAGGTACCTGAAGTCAGTACCTGACCAGCCGGGCTGTGGTTTGTACGTCGGGTTGCGTGCGGCCAACAGCAACAGCCTGGTTGATCAGGCTCTGATCCACCATGAGGCCTGGTCACAGACCGGGCCGCAGGGGCGTTGACCCCCGAAACCCTTTCCAGGTATACTCCAGGTATATCAACAGGGTGGGGAGGGGGGATATTGCCCTCTTCCGCCCCTGCATATAGGGCACTGACATTTTCATTAGACAGGTTGTGTAAATTACATCTTTCACTTTAGTCTCATTCCTGGCAGTCGACTCTTAGAGGGCATTTTTCCATTATAGATAGTGGTTTTACTCGACAATTTCTTAGCCTGCTCAAAAGTGCACAATTGTACTAACAGATCATCTGACCTCTGTGGTCTGACTACTATCACATCTCCCTTCCATCTATTCAGTTGCATCCGCCTTAAAAACATGGCTCATCTTAGCTTAAGGATTACGTATGTTCACTGCTCTGAAGTAAACAAATCGTACATGTTCCCGTAAATCATCGGATATGGCACGTCTAGTGTCTTCCATTGTTCGTGGTGCAGTCTCTGGGTCCTCTGTCTCCAGTATTTCTTTTTCTTTTCGGCTAAGTCCATCAACCGTCAGTTCATCCCCGTCCTCCATCTCCTGTACACCTGACCTTTTACCTGGTCCACCTACAGGGAGGTTGCATGTTATAAAGGTTTTTCTTCAATCTATATATCCTTGGTTAGGCCTCATTTAGACTATGCTGCTCAGTTCTGGTCACCGTATTACAGAATGGATATAAATGCTCTGGAAAACGTACAAGGTTGATCCCATGTATCAGAAATCTTCCCTGTGAGGATAGACTGAGGGCCCTGAATCTGCACCCTCTCGAAAGGCGTAGAATTAGGAGGGATATGATTGAGGTGTATAAATGGAAAACAGGAATAAATAAAGGGAATGTAAATAGCGTGCTGAAAATTTCCAGCTAAGACAGGACTCGTAGCAATAGTTTCAAGTTGGAAAAATTCAGATTCAGGAAGGATATAGGAAAGCACTGGTTTGGTAATAGAGTTGTGGATGAGTGGAACAAACTCCCGAGTACAGGTATTCAGGCTAAAACGTTGTGTAGTTTTAAAAATAGGTTAGATAAATACATGAGTGGGTGTGAGTTAGACCTGACTAGCTTGTGCTGTTGGGTCTGGTGCCGTGCTCCTTCCTTGAGTGGAGGTGACCTGACTGGGTGGGTCATTGGGCTAATCGGGCAGGGGGTCATTGGTCTAATCCGGGGGGGGGGGGGACATGGACCTGCTCCGCATGAGTCAGTAGGCCTGTTGCAGTGCTCCTTCTTTCTTATGTTCTTATAAAGAGAGAAGTCAATAAAGATCATATTGTACGGCAGATTGCAACCAAAAAACAATACACTACCATCATGAGCTGCAGATGCCCAGTAAACCAGCACCTCAGGCGGCACATGGTAATAGTGTGTAAGGTGGTAGGTAGTACACTACTGGTGTACCAAATTTTGCCAAATAAAGAAATAGGTGTTTGGCTGTCATGTGCTTGATTGACATTTGCTTCCTTTATTATCCATTGAGAATTTTCTTCAAGTCTAAATACTATAAACTTTTCAGACTCTGAGGAAATACAAGAATAATTGAGGAACAACGTGTTAATGATTCAGAAGCAGTAATTACTTCCAAGTGTGCAAGAAACTCTAGACTTACTGGAAGTTATCCTAAGCAAAATTCCAGTATATCAGAAAACTTCAGTACCTGCTGAAAGTAATAATCTGGGCAAAATACCAATGTGTTGATATTTTACGTAGACTATTACTTCCAGTATATCCTGAAGTATATTCCATGTATTCCATCCACTTCTATGCCGGGGTACACAGGACGCTCGTGGGTCATGCCAAGCCCTTCCTATTTTGTTTAAAGGGTTTTCTTATACTTATACTCTATTGAATATAGATATGTACTCTATGTGATATTTTTTTCAACAGCTTCTATGGTTTATCAGTATGGTTCCCAGAGTACATCAAGCTTCTGAAAAGTGAGGAGTACAACAGACATGCCAATGTTACCGTAGGTAAGCACCTAAAAATTTTCAATCAACTAGCATATTTTTGTAAATAAGTTTATTTAGATACAAGTACACATAAGTACAGTTATCATGCATAGTTTAACATATGTACAAATTATGAAGGATAACCCAAAAAGTAACCAGGAGCAAAATATTTCCTAAATGTATTACATGTTTGCATACGTGTCATTTCCTCAATGTTTATATACTGGACTGTATAGTCCTTGTGGCTTAGCGCTTCTTTTTGATTATAATAATATATACTGGAGCTAGCTAGTTATCATATTATGGTCCTGCTTGGAAAACACCTCTACCTTGCAAACAAAAATGGGTAAAATGTAGTATTTGGAAACAAAGGAAATGAAATTTCTAAGGAAAGCCAAACCAGTTTGTCCTTGACATCATTACTTGCTTTGAATTGCATGTATCCATATTTTAAATATCTTGAGATAATGTGACCAAACTTCATATTCTTCACACTGATCATCCTTACAGAGGATGTGTTCCAGCATCGATCATTCAACAACACTACCTTGGACAACATTAAGTTCGTGAGAGCAATCTTCAACAACGTTACTTTCAGCAAGACTCTTATTAACCACGTCCTCTTCGTCAACAGTTCAATTTCTGACTGTCTCTTCTCTGATGTTAGAAGCAGCAAGACATTCTTTAAGTAAGCATAATTACTGTAATGAGTCGATGGTAATAGTAGCCCTGGCATATTGTCAGTTATAATTAAAAACATGAAGAGTAAGTTTGTGTATACAGGTGTATGTATGAACATGCTTGATGCAGTTAAGGAAAGAAAGTTTCTTGACTCTCTCTGTGACTCACGAAATCGTAATGACACGATTGCAAACAAACCACACCACGGGTGGGGCTAGAATCCACGATCAGAGCGTCATAAAACTTCAGACCTTCTTCTTTTAATGCCACTAGGACCAGCTTGAGAGTCACTGGACCTCTGTCGCACAACAAATCTGTCCATAGAGGTCTGTACCTCCCGTTCCTTTAAGATTTGCCTAAAATGGGCCACAACATTGTCATTGTAATAGTCACCAGCACGGCTTGCAATAGCTGTGTTAGGGTGATTTTCATCCATAAAGGTTTGCACTTCAACCCACTTTGCACACATTTCCTTAATCTTTGAAGTAGGCACAATGGATTCCACAACTGGCATAGGCTTCTCAGAGTTAGCTCCAAACCCTTCAAAATCTTTCTTGATTTCCATACTAATTCTCACCCTTTTTACCACAGGGTTGGCACTAGAAGCTTTCTTGGGGCCCATGGTAACTTATTTTGCAGTTACAAGCACAAAAAAAAACACTGGGATAAGGTGAAATGTACCGAATGTATGCGTGGATGCGACCGCACTGGCTGGCTTGTAAACAGTGGTGCTGAGGCCACACGTGGGACGTGTCCCTGACGAATCATGTAAGGCGAGGCAAAAATTTTGCGTTAAAATGTATCGTATGGCGGATTTAACGTAACGCGATGTAAGGCGGGGGTCCACTGTATATATATATATATATATATTATATATATATATATATATATATATATATATATATATATATATATATATATATATATATATATATATATATATTATTAGGTAGTAGGTTGGTACACAGCAACCACCCAGCACTACTCACTTGGCAATACTACCATCCTGCCAAGTGAGTGTGAAATGAAAGCCTGTAATTGTTTTACATGATGGTAGGATTGCTGATGTCTTTTGTCTGTCTCATAAATATGCAAGATTACAGGTACGTCTTGCTACTTCTACTTACACTTAGGTCACACTACACATACATGTACATGTTTATTTATACACACTCATCTAAGTATTCTTTGATTTTATCTTAATAGTTCTTTGTCTTATTACTTTTCCTTTTATATCCATGGGGAAGTGGAATAGAATTTTTCCTCTGTAAGCCATGCATGTTGTAAAAGTCAACCAAAATGCTGGGAACAATGGGCTAGTAATCCCTTTTCCTGTAATAATTACTAAAAAGAATAAGAAGAAGAAAATTGTCAAAGTGGGAAGTCTGAATGTGCGTGGATGTTGTGCAAATGATAAGAGACGATTGTGGATGTTATGAATGAGAAGATGCTGGATGTCCTGGCTTTAAGTGAAACAAAGCTGAAGGGGGTGGGAGAGTTTCAGTGGAGAGGAATAAACGGGATTAGGTCAGGGGTTTCAAATAGAGTTAGAGCTAAAGAAGGAGTAGCAATAATGTTGAAGGATAAGTTATGGCAGGAAAAGAGGGACTATAAATGTATTAATTCAAGGATTGTGTGGAGTAAAATAAAGGTTGGATGTGAAAAGTGGGTTATAGTAAGCGTATATGCACCTGGAGAAGAGAGAAGTGTAGAGGAGAGAGTGAGATTTTGGGAAATGTTGAGTGAATGCATGGGGAGTTTTGAACCAAGTGTGAGAGTAATGGTGGTTGGGGATTTCAATGCTAATGTGGGCAAAAATGTTGTGGAGGGAGTAGTAGGTAAATCTGGGGTGCCAGGGGTAAATGAAAATGGGGAGCCTTTAATTGAGCTATGTGTAGAAAGAGGTTTGGTAATAAGTAATACATATTTTATGAAGAAGAGGATAAATAAATATACAAGGTATCATATAGCACGTAATGAAAGTAGTTTGTTAGATTATGTATTGGTGGATAAAAGGTTGATGGGTAGGCTCCAGGATGTACACGTTTATAGAGGGGCAATTGATATATCAGATCATTATTTAGTTGTAGCTACAGTTAGAGTAAGAGGTAGATGGGAAAAGAGGAAAATGGCAACAACAAACAAGAGGGAGGTGAAAGTGTATAAATTAAGGGAGGAGGAAGTTCGGGTGAGACATAAGCAACTATTGGCAGAAAGGTGGCCTGGTGCAAGTATGAGTAGTGGGGGAAGGGGGTTGAAGAGGGTTGGAATAGTTTTAAAAATGCAGTATTAGAATGTGGGGCAGAAGTTTGTGGTTATATGAGGGTGGGTGCAGGAGGAAAGAGGAGTAATTGGTGGAATGATGAAGTAAAGGGTGTGATAAAAGAGAAAAAGTTAGCTTATGAGAGGTTTTTACAAAGCAGAAGTGTTATAAGAAGAGTAGAGTATATGGAGAGTAAAACAAAGGTGAAGAGAGTGGTGAGAGAGTGCAAAAGGAGAGCAGATGATAGAGTAGGAGAGGCACTGTCAAGAAATTTTAATGAATAAGTAAGAAAAATTTGGAGTGAGTAAAAACAAGTTAAGAAGCCTGGAATAATGATTTTCAGTTAAAAACAAGTAGGGAGAATTTAGTAGATGGGGAGATGGAGGTTTGGGTAGTATGGCGAGAGTATATTTGAGGAATTTTAAATGTCGAGAAAGAAAGGTGAAGCAGTAATTTCATGCAAAGGCCTGGGAGTATACATCTTTTAGGAGTGAAGAAGAACGAGATGTGAGTGTGGGTAGTGCGTGAGGACCCTGAAATTACCGATAGAAGCTAGGCATTGCGGGCAAACTTTAGATAATTATTACCCCTAAATTATTACAAATTGTGGAGTAAGTTGACTAAATACTAAGTGACTAAATACTAAGTGACTAAATACTAAGTGACTAAATACTAGTTTGTGAGTTTAGCAATGTGAATGCTTTTGTTTGGCACAATACATAGTTTCTATATTGGAGTATCACAGGCAAACTTGTGACTAGTTAGGAATCATTATTTTAAGATTAAGATACGTATTTCTGTGCTTATAGTCAAATGGGTGAGTGAGTGAGTGTAAGTGTGAACCACCAGGTGGTTTTTATGTAGTTAATTGACGGGGTGTATCAGGGAGATAAGATGTTTTCTAACGGTAGTTTTGAAGGTGATGAATGTGTCTGCAGTTCTAGAGTTTTCAGGTAGGGTGTTCCAGATTTTAGGGCCTTTGACATACATACGTAGAATGAAAGGGGGTAAAGCAGCTGGAACTGACGGGATCATGACAGAAATGTTAAAATCAGGGGGGGATGTAGTGTTGGAGTGGTTGGCATTTTTGTTTAAGAAATGCATGAGAGAGGGGAAGGTACCTAGGGATTGGCGGAGAGCATGTGTAGTCCCTTTATATAACCTGGAGTTTACCTGGAGAGAGTTTCGGGGGTCAACGCCCCCGCGGCCCGGTCTGTGACCAGGCCTCCTGGTGGATCAGCACCTGATCAACCAGGCTGTTGCTGCTGGCTGCACGCAAACCAACGTACGAGCCACAGCCCGGCTGATCAGGAACTGACTTTAGGTGCTTGTCCAGTGCCAGCTTGAAGACTGCCAGGGGTCTGTTGGTAATCCCCCTTATGTGTGCTGGGAGGCAGTTGAACAGTCTCGGGCCCCTGACACTTATTGTATGGTCTCTTAACGTGCTAGTGACACCCCTGCTTTTCATTCGGGGGATGGTGCATCGTCTGCCAAGTCTTTTGCTTTCGTAGTGAGTGATTTTCGTGTGCAAGTTCGGTACTAGTCCCTCTAGGATTTTCCAGGTGTATATAAATCATGTATCTCTCCCTCCTGCGTTCCAGGGAATACAGGTTTAGAAACCTAATGCGCTCCCAGTAATTGAGGTGTTTTATCTCCGTTATGAGCGCCGTGAAAGTTCTCTGTACATTTTCTAGTCAGCAATTTCACCTGCCTTGAAAGGTGCTGTTAGAGTGCAGCAATATTCCAGCCTAGATAGAACAAGTGACCTGAAGGTGTCATCATGGGCTTGGCCTCCCTAGTTTTGAAGGTTCTCATTATCCATCCTGTCATTTTTCTAGCAGATGCGATTGATACAATGTTATGGTCCTTGAAGGTGGGGTCCTCCGACATAATCACTCCAGGTCTTTGACGTTGGTGTTTCGCTCTATTTTGTGGCCAGAATTTGTTTTGTAATCTGATGAAGATTTAATTTCCTCATGTTTACCATATCTGAGTAATTGAAATTTCTCATCGTTGAACTTCTATTGTTTTCTGCAGCCCACTGAAAGATTTGGTTGATGTCCGCCTGGAGCCTTGCAGTGTCTGCAATGGAAAGACACTGTCATGCAGATTCGGGTGTCATCTGCAAAGGAAGACACGGTGCTGTGGCTGACATCCTTGTCTATGTCGGATATGAGGATGAGGAACAAGATGGGAGCGAGTACTGTGCCTTGTGGAACAGAGCTTTTCACCGTAGCTGCCTCGGACTTTACTCTGTTGACGACTACTCTCTGTGTTCTGTTAGTGAGGAAATTATAGATCCATCGACCGACTTTTCCTATTATTCCTTTAGCGCGCATTTTGTGCGCTATTACGCCATGGTCACACTTGTCGAAGGCTTTTGCAAAGTCTGTATATATTACATCTGCATTCTTTTTGTCTTCTAGTGCATTTAGGACCTTGTCGTAGTGATCCAGTAGTTGAGACAGACAGGAGCGACCTGTTCTAAACCCATGTTGCCCTGGGTTGTGTAACTGATGGGTTTCTAGATGGGTGGTGATCTTGCTTCTTAGGACCCTTTCAAAGATTTTTATGATATGGGATGTTAGTGCTATTGGTCTGTAGTTCTTTGCTGTTGCTTTACTGCCCCCTTTGTGGAGTGGGGCTATGTCTGTTGTTTTTAGTAACTGAGGGTCGACCCCCGTGTCCATGCTCCCTCTCCATAGGATGGAAAAGGCTCGTGATAGGGGCTTCTTGCAGTTCTT